GGTGGAACAGTTGGAGCAGGTGGAATATGTGGTACAGGTGGAACAGGTGGAACAGATGGTGCAAGTGGAGCAGGTGGAACAGATGGTACAGGTGGAACAGGTGGAACAGGTAGAACGGGTGGAACAAGTGGTAAATGTGGAACGGCAAAAATATGAAATAAATGTGGATAAGGAAAATGAAGGTGATAATAACAAAAAAGAAATATCTATTGAAGATGAACAAGGAACAAGGAAAATAAAGAATGATTTTAGCATGATTTGGTGGAACTACAGAAAAATATATATAATAAAGATGGATAAAAAAACACAGAGAAAAATAAATGTTGGCCTTATCAACAGCAAACACTAAGGTTAAGATTAATTTTTAAAAATAACGAAAAAACAGGAGTACAGTAGTCTGGTGGAACCGCAAGAATGTGTAATAAAGATAAAGTCTGTTTTATTTCCTCTTTTTTCCGTAAATTATTTTCAAAATGTAACTATATATACTTATATATCATATATCATATATATATATATATATATATATATATATATATATATATATATATATATATATATATATATATATATATATATACATATATATATTCATAATGCCTACGCTCTGACTGCTGACTCGAGCCCGAGAAAACGATATATCGGCTTGAGAAGTCAAACGCAGGTGTCGTAGGGAAGTCACCGCCGTGGCACAAGTGTTAACGCGCCGAACCGCGATTGATTAGGAAGGGCATTCAATCAGGCAAGGGTGACACTGCCATATAACCTCACAATACTGAAATGAGAGAGGCCTACGTCCTGCAGTGGAATGAATGGCTGTTAAAAAAATATATATATATATATATTCATAAATATGTATATATAAATATAAATACACTTATGTATATATATATATATATATATATATATATATATATATATATATATATATATACATATATATATATATATATATATATATATATATATATATATATATATATATATATATATATATATGTATATATATATATATATATATATATATATATATATATATATATATATATATATATATATATACATATATATATAGAGATAGATACACACACACACACACACACACACACACTCACACTCACACACACACACACACACACACACACACACACACACACACACACACACACACACACACACACACATATATATATATATATATATATATATATATATATATATATATATATATATATGAGTATCAATCAATGTCGACAATACCATTATTGTCTCTATTCGCTCCCGTACAGGTAGAGTCATTGCCTGGGCGAAAGAATGTGAGGAGCAAGCTGTTGCCCTTGCAGAGGCTCCCTCTCTCCGGCAGCTGATGGAGCCATAGGAACGGCACAGACCGATACGGTTTGGCACCAGCGGTCGGGCACCACTATATATGAGCGAATATACATATTATATCAGAAAAAAAGGATATATATGTATGTATATGTATGTATATATAAGTACATACGTATATATATATGTATATATATGTATGTATATATACATACAAACACACACACACACACACACACACACACACACACACACACACACATATATATATATATATATATATATATATATATATATATATATATATATATATATATATATATATATATATATATATATATATATATATATATATATATATATATATATATATATATATATATATATATATATATATATATATATATATATATATGTAATGACACCAAGAGTAATGATAACAGAAATAACTATCATAATAATAACAATGATAACAATAATAGTAATAATGATAGTAATAATAATAATAATAATAATGATAATAATAAAAATAATAATGATATGACAATAATGATAATAATGATAATAATAATAATAATAGTAATAATGATAGTAAAAATAATAATAATAATATTGATAATAATAAAAATAATAATGATATGACAATAATGATGATAATGATAATAATAATAATAATAATAATAATGATAATAATAATAATAATAATAATAATGATAATAATAATAATAATGGTGATGATAATAGTGATAAGAATAATGAATATAGAACAGTAAAAGAAATAATAATGATACCGACATTAATAGTAATGATAACGATGTCAATGATAAAAAAAATATATATTATGATGATAATAATAAGGATTTTGATAACAAAGGTAACGGTACTACTAATAATGATAATAAGAAAAACAGAAATTGTAGAAATTAGATATTTTTCGATGAGATAAAAGTATCAATTTAACACAAATATAGCTTTGACTTTATCAATTAATCTAAGATAAAAAAAAAAAAATGACATGAAAAAAAAACAACTTCCATATTCCTTCCATACGCTTTAATGCATAAAAAAGGAAAGAAAAAGAAAAAAAAAACAAATATTGTAAATACCTTATTTCTCTTTCTCTTAGCAATTTCGAAATGTACCCCGTAAGTGCGTACAGAGGTGATCATTGCAACCGAACTGTAATTTGCAACAGCCTCGTTACCTCGTTACTGACACCGTTTTGCAATACTCATATGATTCCTGTTTGGGGGAGGGGGGGGGTTGGGGAGAGGAGGAAGGGGAGGGGGGAAGGGGGAGTGGGGAGAGAGGGGAAGGGGAGGGGGGAAGGAGGAGAGAGAGGAGGGAGGGGAGGGAGTGGGGAGAGAAGGGGAGAGAGGAGAGGGAAAGGAGGAGAGAGAGGGGGGCAGGGGGAGAGGGGAGAGGAGGAAGGAGGAGAGAAAGGGAAGGGGGAGAAAGGGAAGGGGAGAGGGGAAGGGGGAGTGAGAGGGGGGGGAGGGGGAGAGCCAGTCACGTTGCGCGAATATGGCTTACGCACACGCACGCAGACACGCAGGTATACACGCGGGCGGTATACATACAGACAGACATATGTACATATATATAAGCACGTATATGTAAATATGTATGAATATTTACATGTGTGCGCGCGCTCACGTGTATAAGTAAATAAATGAATATGTAAATAAATATCAATCTGTCTATCCCTTTCTTTCTCTCTCTCTCTCACTCTCTCTCTCTCTCTCTCTCTCCCTCTCTCTCTCTCTCTCCTTCTTTCTCTCATTATCTCTCTTTGTCATTCTCTCTCTTTCTCTCATTATCTCTCTTTGTCTCCCTCTCTCCCCCTCTCCCCCCCCTCTCCCTCTCTCTCTCTCTCTCGCTCTCTCTCTATACATATATGTATATATGTATATATATATATATATATATATATATATATATATATATATATATATATATATAAACATATATATATATACATATATATCCACACACACACACAACACATATGACCCCCCCCCCCCCCCCCCACCCGGTGGCGCGCGCAGGAGGCTCGTGGGGCGAAATGCGTGAGGCGGCGCGCTGAGTGTTACTTGCCCGGAATGCAATTACTGCCGCTTTCTTGGCAAACGTTGGCCCTTCAAATTAACGTTAAGAGTTCCTGCTATTCACGAGGAGTTGGCGGCGTGCATTTCGTGGCGTTCGTGAGGATGGAGATTAAAGGAAAAAAAAAGTATATAATATGCTTTTTTTTTTTTTTTTTTTTTTTGGGGGGGGGGGTGGAGGTAGGGGGGTAATTTTGTTGCGTTGGTTGTTGATTTTTTTTTCGCTTTTTTTATTTCTTATGCTGTTTTATATAGTTCGTGAGTTGTATATATATATTTTTATTTTTTTAGATTTTTACTTTTTTCTACATAGAATTTGTAGCTCCGTAAGTTTTTATTTTATTCAATTGCTTATTTATTCATTAATTTCTTTCTTTTTTTATTCAATTGCTTATTTATTCATTAATTTCTTTCTTTTTTTATTCAATTGCTTATTTATTCATTAATTTCTTTTTTTTATTCAATTGCTTATTTATTCATTATTATTATTATTTTTAAATTCAATTGCTTATTTATTCATTAATTTCTTTCTTTCTTTTTATTCAATTGCTTATTTATTCATTAATGAGGAAGTAGTGATAAAGCTTTAATTACGTCCCGTTTTGTGGATTCGTTGGTGGGGGGGGGGAAGGTTTTCGACACAGACAGACACACAAACGCACACACACGCATAGGTAGATAGACATACACACATTCACACACACAGGTAGAGAGATACATACACATTCACATACACACACACACACACACACACACGCGCACAGGTAGATAGACATACATACATTCACACACACAGGTAGAGAGATACATACACATTCACACACACACACACACATGCACAGGTAGATAGACATACACACATTCACACACACACACACACACATTCACACACATAGGTAGATAGAAACACACACACGCACAGGTAGATAGACATACAGACATTCACGCACACAGGTAGATAGAAAAGCACACATTCACACACAAAACACACACACACACACAGATAGATAGAAACACACGCACGCACGCATGCACACACACACACACAAACAGACAGACACACACAAACATCACATAAGTAGATACATACTTTAAACAATATAGGCGTATAATCAGGTTCAAAGAATAACAATGACAAACCTAAACTAATGGGGTATTCATATAAAAAAACAAGACATGGATAGACCCGATAGATTTATTGATGGAAAGAGACATGACAATTATTTTTATGCCAATAGTTCATTATCCTGCGACTGCTGTGTGACTGAACATAAATCGTCAATTAATCTTTTATTGATTTTTGCATTCTGTTTATGATCAACATTGCATTAATTTCACAGTGAAGCTCGTAAGCCAGTGAATTATAAACGTGTACCTGTTTAAAGAAATATTTGAAATGATTTGTATTTTTATTTGTTTATTTCTGCATTTCCTTTTCTATAAGTTTTGCCCATTGATTTTATTTTTTGGTTTATTATCATTTTTTAGTTATCACTCTGCCACTTTTCACTAATTCGTTTTATTCCTTTTCTCTTTTATTTCCCCATTTTCTTAATTGTTTTCTCCTCTCTCTCTTCACTTGTTTTTCCATCTTTTTCTCACTCTCTCCTCTTTCCTTTTCATCTTCCCAAACTTCCCCTTCTCCCTCACTTTATTCCCTCCTTCCACCTCCCTCCTACCATTCTCTCCTCCCCCATCCTCCATTGTCTCCTTCCCCTTCCCTCCTCCCCCTTTCCTCTTTTTTCTTCTCCCTCCTCCTTCTTTATCCTTCCCTCGCTTACCCTCTCCCTCCTTCCCTTCATTCCCCCTTCCTCTTCCTCCTCCTCCTTCCCCCCTTCCCCCACCATCCTTCCCTCACCCCCCCCCTTCCTCTTCCTCCTCCTCATCCCTCTCTCCTTCCCCCTCCATCCTTCCCTCGCTCCCCCTTCCTCTTCTTCCTCCTCCTCCCTCTCCCCTTCCCCCTCCATCCTTCCCTCGCCCACCTTCCTCTTCTTCCTCCTCCTCCTCC